ATTTGTAAAGGGCGAGTGTCAGGAGGAAGAGGCTAGGCTCTTCTCAGTGACAGCAAATGAGAGGACAAGGGGTAATGGGTACAAACTGGAGCATAGGAGGTTCCATGTGAACATGAGGAAAAACTTTTTTACTGTTAGGGTTATGGAGCACTGGACCAGGCTGCCCAGGGAGGTTGTGGAGTCTCCTTCTCTGAAGACATTCAAGACCTGCGTTCCTGTGCAGCCTAGTTTAGGTGATCCTGCTCTGGCAGGGGGGTTGGACTGGATGATCTTTCGAGGTCCCTTCCAACTCATAATATTCTGTGATCTGTTATTTCTTGTCAGTGAAAGACACTGACATTTCCCACTCATAGCCTCAGGATTTTGTCCGTAGCAATGAACAGGGACACATGCACCTTGTCTTTCTATTAGTTGCTCTTTGTATGCAATCCAAAACCTCTAAAATCTGCTTTCCAGGAACATTTAACCTCTTTGGAGAGATAAAGAATGCTAATTCTATACTTTGAAAAAATGAAGTAGTATTATCTTTTATTTTCTTCTTCAGTACACACATTTTCATCTTTGTTTTAGACAGAACTAATTTTAATCTGAGAAAGCTTTCTGTAAAGAACAGCAAGGCTTCCCTGCACTCCCACCAAGGCTGTTGAACTTGCTGTAAAAAAAAGAAAAAAAGATGCACTCAATTATATCACATTTAAAAGCAGATCTGTTTTCATTTAAAGAAGTTCTTGTAATGTTGGTTTTGAAGAAGTCCCTGGGAGTATCATATGCTAACCATCAAGATCAAACAACAGTAAGTAGGTAGTACAATGCTACAACATATAATACTGACAGGAGGGGGAAGAGCCTCTTGGGGAAGGCATTCACAAAGAATAACATTAGCCCCTGCAGGCCAATGCCTCAATGGCTTTCTCTAATCAGTAAAGACAGAAAGATTCCTCCAGAGGGTGATTCTCAACTGAAGATTCATTTAGCTACTCTGAGTCTCTCTCTGTAGGAACCTCACTTCCATTAACTTTGAAAACAGCCTGCAGAGATTAGCCTCAAAAAGATCATGCTAGCCTTTGTGAACACTCCTCAGTATTTATCTTCGATCAGTAGGAACATGGCTGAAATTTGCTGCCGAGATGTATAGTTGGGCATACTGTATTTAAATCTGAACACTGTGTATTGCACATGGACTGAATTTTACCCAGGTGGAGCTCAGAGCTCCTGCCAGAATCACTTAAAGGGTCTCCAAAGCCTACTAGGATGACTGCAGGATTTAGTTTTTTCCACTGCCCCATTAAAGTGCTCTGTTTGACGGCCACCCGCATGCTGCCATGCAAAGGACTGCTGTGCCCTCAGCACCTTCAGAATCCATTAACATCCTGCAGTTGTACTGGCACAGATCCTTCTCTTGCTCTGACTGCTCGTTGTGCCACTGGAGCAGCAGCAGGAGCTGGGTTTTCGCCATCAACCTCAACACAAAGAAGAATAATTCTCAACTTTTGAGACTTGTTGTCAACAATTTTTATGGTTATTACTAGTAGCAACAAAAGATAAAAATGTTTTTTTCATCTCAAACACAGAATGAAGTTGGATTTTGTGACTTGGGAACACAAGGAAGAAAGCCATAGTACTGAGAGAACTATTACCAGGGCCAGTTCCTAACTATTCCAATTTTTCTATACTTCATTAGATCATTGTGCTTCTCTACCTGAAAAATTTCCATGGTATCTTCAAATTCTACCAAATAATAGATTTGAAAAAAGTAAGAATTCTGTAATATTGTAAAAAACTAAAATTATTCCATCTCTTAAAAAGTTTTGGTGGGACTTTTCACATCTATGATTCTACAAAATTTCTTTTCACAGAATACCATTGTGAAATAAACCAGCTATCCTATTACATATGTAAAACACAGAAAAAAAGACCTTTTAAATTGACTTCAACAAAGGCATGAGAAAGTTAATCACAAACAACAGCAGTCTTTCATATAACGTCAGTAAAGTTATAACCAGAGCCAAAGACAATACAAATTCCAGGCAGAGTTGATTTCCAAAGTATGCCTTAAAGTATGGTTAGACAAATCAGCACAAGTCTGAGAGTACAGCCCTTTTCACAATCTTACGACGACTCCCAAGCCCTAGGAAATCTGGTTCTAAGCTTAAATTTTTCCTATACAATCATGTCGAACATGACTTAAACTTAACAAAATAAACTTGCATACATCTGCCAAGTACATCTTACCACTGAAATCAAACCTCTTTACCACATGGAAAAGTTAGGTTCAGATTTTACAGACTACATTGAGACATAAGGCATAATAAACACAAAGTACTACAAAGACCAGTTATTGTTCCAAATGAACAGATCCTTTGCATGTAAAAAACTACATGCAATGATGTCAAACAAATACTTTATGCCATCTGTGTTACTACCTGAGTAACAGTATACTAAGTGTTAGTCATCATCTGAAATTATTTTTACATAACCCTCCTTTACATAAATACTGAAGGTTCCTGTTTGTTATATTCCAGTATCAGCTGGTTTTCCAGGTATTTAATCAAGAGATTTGCAGACAAAAACTACAAGTAATTAATTTGGCTCATCCTAATTATATTGTGGCATTAGATTAATAGAAACTATGCACTCTGCCCTTTAAGGGCAGCATTCTGCAGAATTCTGCATAATAAGGATCTCTTGGCTTGAAATGAATCTCAAAGCATGTTGATTAGATGGTTAAAGGGCAGAGTTTTTAATTATCAAAATCTGATGAAGAATATGAAAGGAAAAAACTTTGCATTATTTTCATGTAATTGTTTATTAAAATAAAGGAAAATCCAGAATTTTACAATTCATCTCAGAGTTTGAACATTTTTATACTCAAATATAACTTTCAGTAGAGTCTTCCTCTATACAGTAAATTTGCACACACACAGAAGAGCATTTTGTCCTTCTGCACTGGCACATTATCTGAGCATCTTTCTAGAGCACAATTATTGCACAGGACAGTTGTATTTGTGACAGTGCTCATTTAACCAAGCACTACATTGCCCACTGTTCTTTCTGTTAAACTCGGACAGAAAAAATGCAAGAGGGTAAGATTTTGCCAGATATATTAAACCCAAAGTAGATTACCAGTTCAAGAAAACCAGCAATTTCTCTAATTAAAATACACAACTGATTGTTTACTCTCATCAGTTTACAAATGAGAGCATATAATCTGAAGACAAACATTTCAGTGAATTCTGCAGTTTCCCATATAACATGCAGTACCAAAACCAGACTTCTAGAAAGAACCAGGAATGACATATTTGACCAGTACCTACAAATTCCCAAATTACACTGCAATCCCTCTCAGCTGATGGCACTTCATGTGACAAGATTTGGTCTCATAAATTCTCTGAAACTGTATTTAATGTAACTTTACGATATATCAAATGAAGTTTTAACACACAGAAACCTCCATTTTCCTTTTTATATAAAACATCTGCAGCAATTAAATCTTACAATTACTTTGGAACATTTGGAAGTTATTTACTTATCTGAGTAATAAACACCTGAAATTTTCCTACTATTTGACTTTAATGCTTGAACCACGTGAAAACTGTTCCTCTAAACATGGAAGTTTAGAGGGAAAGAAAAAGAAAAAAGATCTAGTACTCAGTAGGAACAATTTCTTTGTAGCAAAATCAAAACACAGTTCCCCCTTCCACAAAGTAAGCTCAACAATATCCATTATTTAAATATTTATTTATTGTGGCTGTGTGTTTACCCTTGTGGCATCAATAACACCTACAGAGAAGTTCATCTTTCTTTCAGGAACATAACGTGGAATGAGCCCATTCTTCTACTAGTCAAGGAAGAATTAGCGCATGAGATAATATATTTTAACAAGAAAATGAAACCTTATCTCTTTGTAATTAAAAAAAAAAATCCTGGGAAGTCATTTTTACTAGCTTTAAAAAAAGGCCAATTCATTTGTTGTGTCTTAGAGTTCCAAAATAAATAGACCTTTGCTGTACGGCGATATCACTTATTCCAAAGCTTTCCGTAGACATTAAGAACTCCCAACTCGATCTCTGGGAATAATCCGTAGATCAGAACCATGCTTTAGAAATACATTTCCTAAACAAACAAACAGAATGTGTTACCAACCAACCAAATGTCACCTAAACAGGCATACACATTTAAAGGAAAATAATGTTAGGTCAGAATTTAACATCTCTGCAGTAATCCCTCTAATAAACCAGAAATACATTTTTAAGTTTCCATGAATTTGCATCTCAAGCCTCTTACTCCAAAGAGCTCTTATTTTGAAATAAAAATACCAGACTCAAAGCCATCTATTAAGAATTGCAAACTATGGCCTTTCAAATTTAGTAGTTCCATACTTGAATGCCTAATTTCACTTATATGCCATAATAATTTCAAGACCAGGAAATGAAGGTTTATTTCCCTATAAATTTTTTTTGTATTGAGGTCATTCATTCATGCATATACTAATTTTTAATCTCTCCTTGAATCAGTACTTACCTGCTTCTAACTTCAGAACCTGAACTGTACTTATCTTTCAGGAAGGCTCTCCTCATAACCAGATATAAATCAGCTTCCTAGCATAAAAAAATCTTGAACTTTATTACTGTATAGTCTTAATCATAATAGTCTCTTCAAAAGGACACAGCATGAAAACTAGAAGTTTCTAATACTGAGATGTCTAGAGTATTTTCTGCACGTATTCAAGACTGTCATCCAGGCTGCTGTTTTCTTCTATTAAATATAACATTTAAAAATGAAACCACACTGCTAACAGGGATGCATTATTTAATTCCTATATGGAACTTTCATTTTTTAACTTCATAATGCTATTGCATGAAATAGACTATATGCAATTCTACAATAACAGTTCTTCAAAATATCTACCTATTTTTATTCATCTTTGAGTTGACTTGAAAAAACAGAGTAAGTGTACTTCTCTCTCAAGCACCCCATTTCATGGAAGTAGAGTGCTCTCATAAAAAAGATTAAGATATTTGACATTTGTTGAAGTTATTAGCATCTTGGAACAAAGCTACCCTTTTTCAAACTTCACTTTCCCGGCACATGATTCAGGATCAAAACAATTCTACTTATTCAAAATAATGAGTATTAGAAAATCAGTTCAAAACAATGTTATTAGAAGATGTTCTATTGGTCAAGATTTGCCAAGACCACGTACTGAAGAGGTCTGCAAAACTCACTGAGTGCAAATCTGTCACACCAGCAAACCACAGACCTAATCTTACCAGTCTAGATGAAAAGCATCCATATTGCAATGTCTCTCATAAAACTCTAAAATTTTAAAATAGGGCACAGCTGCATCTCATGCAGACAGCAGTTCACCCCACCTCCCAGTTTCCATCATTAATCACAGAATGATTTGGGTTGGAAGGGACTGAAAGATCATCTAGTCCAAACTCACTGCTATGGGCAAGGGCAGCTTCCACTAAACGAGGCTGCTCAAAGCTGCATCCAACCTGACCTTGAACACTTCCAGGGAGGGGGCATCCACAGCTTCTCTGGGCAACCTGTTCCACCACCCTCACAATAAAGAATTTCTTCCTAATATCTAATCTAAATCTACCCTCTTCCAGTCTAAAACCATTACTCCTTGTACTATCACTACTCTCCCTAATAAAGAGTACCTCCCCATCTTTACTGTAGGCCTCCTTTAAGTACTGGAAGGCTGCTGAAAGGTCTCTCTGGAGCTTTCTCTCCTCCAGGCTGAACAGCCCCAACTCTCAGCATGTTCTCACAGGGGAGGTGCTCCAGCCCTTTGATCATCTTCGTGCCTCTTCTCTGGACCTGCTCCAGCAGCTCGATGTCCTTCTGCTGAGGGTCTCATAACTGGATGCAGTACTCCAGGTGGGGTCTCATGAGAGCGGAGTAAAGGGGCAGAACCACCTTCCTCGCCCTGCTGGCCACACTTCTTTTGCTGCAGCCCAGGATATGGTTGGCTTTCTGGGCTGCAAGCACACATTGCTGGCTCATGTTGAGCTTCTCATAAATCAACACCCCCAGGTTCCTTAGGGCAGCTCTGAATCCATTCTCCACCCAGCCTATATTTGTGCTTGAGATTGTGCCCACCCATGTTCAGGACCTTGCACTTGGTCTTGTTGAACTTCATGAGGTTTGCACTGACAAATATCACAGTGGTTTTATTAAAGTTATGGTATGTTCTTCCCTGAACTATCAAAGATTTAAAATTTAAATCAATACAGGAATTAAGTGCTAAGCCTAGCTTTTGCAGCTTTCATCTCCTCTGCTCTATGTATGTATGAAGAATGAAAGTCATACTTGAGGAGTAGTTTCATCCAGAAAGGTGGGGAAATATTGGAATGGTACAAAACCTCTGAAATCCACAAGGATTACTACGATTTTATTCCTAGATCATCTTATTTGGTAAGTTTTTGAAGACGAAAGTAAGTATGTTCAATTTACAGGAACTTTAATATATGCAAGAAAAAAACAGTGGGGAAAAAGGTACATTTTACCTCTCCAAGTTTCTGAGATATCCATTAATAAGGCTGAACATATGGTTATACCTAAATTATATATGTTTACTTGTAAATCGAGGAGAGATTTTGGTCTAGGTCCTGGGTTTGATGTAGGTTGTTCTTTCTGTTTGGGTTGTTGAGGTTTTTTTTCCCCCAGTTGAAGGGCAGCATCACACAGCATTGTCAGGGCAATGGTACCTTCTGTGTTAAAAATAATGATCCACGAGCAAGATGTGTCTAATCTTGCATTTGCAGATAAGATTAAGACTGTGATGAAAACATTATACATCTAGATGCTTTTGATTTACCTGATCCTTGATTACGAGATGCTGTCTTACAGTATTACAAAATAATACATCAACATTTATAAAAACTCAGGAGAGGTAAAGCAAATCAATTGGAGATGTGAATTCAATATGCACAGCTGCAAGCTTTAACTACCATATGGGTGTATTCATTCATGAGTCAAGTAGTCCTAAATATATTTATTTTGCAGGATTAAGCTACAATTAATTTGAGCTACATAATACAAAATGAAAGTATACTTATGAGGAAGACAAACAGTGTAAGTATACCTTAAATTAAGCAACTGACTTTACCTAAGTATTCTTGAGTACTCATGTGAAAATGTGGCTTCACATTTGGGTGATGATCTAGTAGCTAAACTAAATTATTAGTTTTATTGTCTGTTTCTAATACTCTTGGTCAAGGGATCATGATGAGGACAGCACCAGCAAAGGACTCTGTCTGAGGCAGTACATCTGCCAAACCATAATCCAGGTGTCCTAAGGCATGCCCAGGACAGACAGAAACTTTCACTGGAGCAGAAAGCCAAATGCTCACGTGATCTTAATTTTCAAATGTTGTTAATACAATCACAGACCTCAGAAATGGGTCATTACACTTAAATGGTTCCTTTTACAACTCCAAGAAATTCCCTAATTACTAATACTAACTAATTACTAATTTCCTAATTACTAATTCCCTAATTACAAATACTAACTAATGTCAAGGAATTGCTCTTCTGACCATCAGATACTACTATGTGCTCTGCAATGATCTACTTTATACTATTCATCTTACACAGCTAAGTATGCTAATACCTTGCTTTCTTACTCTTTCTTTAAATCTGAAAAAAATGGTGTGGTACCTTCAATAACAACTGGCAGAGAAAGGCCACAAATGAGACCTGGCAGAGATTCAATGCAAAAAAAACAGAGAGGTAGCTACTCTCCATCAACTTTTGCAAGCAGGAGTAAAATTAGATTCACAGTTTTCACTGGATGACTGTGTTCCTCAAGCACCAAAGCCATTTTTATTATTTCTTTACAGAAAGTTATGACCATTTCTTCCCTAATGAAATACTCCACCATAACTCTCGTCTCTAATGGGTTGGTGTTAGATTACTGTAATAATTTCAAAATTAATTTAAAAGTATAGAATTTTCAAGAATAAGTCCACAGAAACCTGCTTCCATACAACAGACCATTATTAGTCCAGATCAACACCTGTACTACGTTTCCACATATTTCAGGAGGTGATGGGGAAAAGCTTTACACTTTTCTGTGACAGAGAGAAACTCTGCTATCCGAGCAAGCCTCCACACTTGAAATCAGAGATTTTTCATGTGGGATCCCCAGTTGAGAACAAGAAGGCTATCAGTAAGAATATCTTTTATTGAAAACATGCTTTCCAAAGCGCCTAGAGTTCCTGCTCTAAAACTGTATTATTTTTTAAACATATGTCATCAGAACTGCTGCTAAAATAGCAACTACTACTGGACTAGATATAGTGGGGAAAAAATGCAACTATTACTTATTTCAGCAACATGTAACACAGTATTGTTCCTTTAAACTGCACACTAAATAGCTATGCCTCATTTTTTCACAGACCCAAATAAACAAATGTTGAACAACAGTTCTGTGGATATAATCTTTTTCACACTACACTGACGGCAGTTTCCAACTGCTGGGTAATGGTTCTCCCACTTAAGAAATCAAAACTTAAAATATAAATCAACCCTAAGTGCTATGCATTAGTTTAAAGAAAAAAATAACTGAGGTTTTTAATACTGGGCTTCATAAATAATAGCTTACCTGCTGTCTGTGCAGGGTTTATTCCTATTCCATCTAGAAAGGAAAAAAAAAAGAGAAAAAAGAGGGAAAAGTGAAACAGACATAATACAATTTCTACACAAAACTTACAGATCAAAAAAATATATAAACAAGACGTAATTATTATATCAGGTCTCCTAGCAGATATTTCCTATAATCAAAACTTATCACAGGAGCCAACAAGAAACCTTCAGCACAGAAAAAACCACACTCTATGTTATGACAAAACCAAATTAATAATATTAGTGGTTTAAAACCTTAATCCCCTGCATAAGCAATTTAAATAAATCAGCAATATTATTAAATTCAGTTTTCAGTCTGTAGAGGTTGTGAAAGACAAGACATGTCTGCTTTTATCAATACCCCTTCATTGAAACTACAGTACAAAAACTATCAAATTATATATAAACTATGTTCTTACCATTGGTTATAATGGCACTTGTTGCTGCAGGAACTTTGAACTAAAAGAAATAAGAGTAGCACAAAATAACATAGGGGAAATAGTTAAAGCAGAAAATATACGGGAAATAGTCAAATAATATTAAATTATAGAATTATAAAATATTCAGTTATAATTTTAGCTGGTTCACTTACAAAAAAATATAAGATTCCCCTCAGATTTACAGATATAGCAAAATAATGGTTTTAATTCAAAGTTGATTAGATTCCTCAATACAATGCAAAATTTGCAGTGCTAAACAACCCATTAAATCAAATTACTATTACTCACTGGATAAAACATAAGTTCAGCATAAGCAAAGTTAAGAAATATTAGTTCTTAGTATAATAAAGGAATAGCTAAAACTTGCATGGAAATGAACTTCTAAGAAGCATACCTTTTAAGTCTAACAGGAGATAAAAAAGAATTAGCTTGAATTGACTAGCTTGCTCTCTGGTTCTATTGGGAGGTCTCCATCCGCACTTCTCCAAGAGAAGAGTTCACTCCAGGATTTGCTTACAAAAGGAAGCACTAATAGCGCTGCATCAGATCTGGCTCCCTTCTCAGATTTCTGACACCAGCCTAAGTAGGCTTTGTACTCTCAATCACCACCATGAGCCTCCATGGTAGCCCACCTCCATGTGCATCATATGTGTTCAGTTTTACAACATGAAAATCCCTACTCAGGTGGGGTTGCACTACATACAGGATTCAAACTATTTCACAAAATTAGAACTGAGATGGGGGAGCCAAAAAGAGTTATTTCTCAGGAGTACAGGAAGGCAGGGACAGAGAAACATCTTGCACTATCTAACGTGGTTGAACCACACACAACAGAAAGGATAAGGTGGGTACAAGTCAATCAGTGCTACTTGGTTGGTCTAAGGACCAAAGGTTGTTCCTTGGACTTCCTTCACTTAGTGCAATGAGCATCTCAGAAGGTAAAAGACTGGTGTCACTGCAATTAGCAAGTATCAGCGAAACCTCCTCTCAAAGCACTTCATCCTCTATATTGCATAAGAAAATGGTAAAATAACTATGAATGCTAACACTGAGTGCTTCCCTGGAAGAACTGCAGAACTCCCTCATCTGCTCAACAACTCACTTCAACCATGCCTTTCAGTGGCATTCACTCGTTGTGCTTTCCTCACTTTCTCATTGCTCAACTTCAGACTTCCAAGTCTGATTTGCAGAAACTCCATGCGTTAACAGTAACAGCTAAAGCTCACAGAAACCATGCTTGAATACAGTACTTAATTATTAATATACTGAAAACTGGCTCTTTCTATCTCCAGACACACAAAACTAGCAGAATTTTTTTTAACTTATTTTCTCTTTGCTTTTTATCCATAAATAAAAACAAATCCATAAATCACGTCACCTCCTTATCTTACAGGGTGACATGAAAACAGTAATTTCTGCAAAAGGTAAGTTAGATACCAGTGTTGTTGTAGAAAGGCCTCGAGGAAACAAACAATTTGTCTTCAGATCAAGATTTGAATAATGAAGTTGATAAAACAGGTACTACATATTTAACAGTAAGAATGTAAAAAATAATCTCATATACAGCTAATGTATATATATCATATAAAGCCTCTAAAACACATCTACAATTTCTACATAAAACTGTGCGGATCCAGAGTGGACAGAGGTCAGACAGCAAAACTCCCATGAATACCCACAATACTCACATCAGCTAAAAGAATGGTTTGCTAAATGTGAATATTTAATTAATTAATTATTTCTTCTCTAAATCCATTTCACAGAGGACCCTACCACCAACTAACATTGTGGTTCCATGAACAGATAAAGTTAACAAGTTTGATGGCAACCCTCCCACCAGAAGTGGTCCCTCACTCCTCGTGTCTCCAACTACTCAGTCCCACTCCAATCTTCCCTGGTCCCTCATACCAGTTTATTAGACCTTTCGGTCTAAGTCTCTATTGTGTGGGCACACCTGCATTAGCTCAGGTTAGAATAACTGGGAAAACACCACAGGAAAAAAAGGCAATTAAATCAGCAAATATCTTTAACAGCATTTATTATTTTGTATATTGTTCTGTCCAAGTAAGGTTATAACAAACAAACAATCCACAACCTCCTCCCCACAAGCTGTGATTCCACTAAGAACTTCTGTCACACAGTGGGATAACACTAACAACATAAGGAGACTCAAAATACATAGTCCGTTGCCCTTTCTAATTATTTATTTATTACAATTCCAATGCTTTAACAAATTAAATTTTCTGTAACCCAAGATTACCTCAAGTTTTCCTAAAAAGAGGAGTTGCAAGAAGAGACTCTCAACTGAATCTGTTTGCTGACTAGATGAAAAAAGCCATCATACTTTTGAGCACTTTATTTTACCGTTTACACCCAGATGAACATCTCTTTATCTCTGTACACTTAATCTGACACAGGATGCAACTCTTCAAATATGTTTTGATGTGTAAATTGTACAAGAATTGCTAAGTTTACGATTCTGAAAATTTTGGCATGCCCCCACCAACACCAGTAAAGCTTGTGTCCACATGTATCTAACTAGCATTCTTTGTGCTGAATTAACCACTATATTTTACAATTGAAAAGCTTTAGCTTTCACAGAATGGTAGGGGTTGGAAGGGACCTCTGAAGATCATCTAGTCCAAATCCCCTGCTAGAGCAGGATCACCTAGAGAAGATCACATAGGAAAACATCCCGGCAGGTTTTGGATTCCTCCAGAGAAGGAGACTCCACAACCTCTCAGGGCAGCCTGTTCCAGTACTCTGTTACCTTCACAGTAAAAAAGTTTTTCCTTATCTTTAAGCTGAATGTCCTGTGTTTGTGACCACTGCCCTTCATCCTGTTGCTAGGCACAGCCAAGAAGAGTGTGGTCCCATCCTCCTGACACCCATCCTTGAGATATTTGTATGCATTAATGAGATACCCCCCTCAGTCTCCTCTAGGCTAAACAGATGGAGCTCTCTCAGCCTTCCTCATTTGGAAGATGCTCCAGTCCCCTAATCATCTTAGTGCCTCTCCAGTAGTTCCTTGTCCTTCTTGAACTGAGGAGCCCAGAACTGGATGCAGTATTGCAGATATGGGCTCACCAGGGCAGAGTGGGAGGAGAACCTCCCTCAACTTGCTGACCACACTCTTCTTAATGCACCCCAGGATGCCACTTGCCTTCTTGGTTGCAAGGACACACTGCTGGCTCATAGTCCACCAGGACTCCTTGGTCCTTTTCCCTGAGCTAGTCTCCAGCCTCCCAGGTTAGCCCCCATCTTGTACTGATACATGGGGTTGTTCTTCCCTTGACACTTCAGGTATGTTCAAAAAGTTAAAAACCAACATCATCACTTTCTACTTACTTCTTCTGCAGCAAACTTCAAGACAGCTGTGAAAGGTGTACTTTCAGGCACACTTAACCTGAAATTACAAGGTATGTGAATACGTGTCCTCTGTGACAAACTGAAAAGCAACTCTATGTGTTATTAAAATACAGGCTTCACTTCTACCAATGGTAAAACTCACGCCAAAGACGTGCATGCACCATTTAAGGTCCAGATCAAGGCTTAAAAAGCAACCAAAGGCACGCACGGCTGTCAAAACACGTACCAAAGTCCCGACATGTGAAGTAACCGCACAAAGCCCCGGCCCACCTCCCAACTTACACTTTGTAGGGCAGCCGCGGGTCCGACGTGAGCGTCACTTTAAAGGTGACCTTCGACCTGGAGAAAGCAAGCAGAAAGCACCGGGTTAAGGCTGGAGGGGGGGGAAGAGGAGCGGCAGGGCTCAGGACCACTCAATTCCTCACATGATGCTCCCCAGCGCCGCCGCCACCGCTGCTCCCCACAGACACGTCAACTGCCGCCCAGCGGGGCCTTCGCTGCCCCTTCCGGCTTCTGGGCTGCCCGCTGCGCGCCTGATCGCAAAGGAAAATTAAAAATGTCCTGCCGACCGCTACAGGGGAAGGAGCAGGGGCACTCTACATCGATGTCCTCCTGGCGCGGGGAATGGAGAGGCTGAGGGGTGGATGAGGGGCAAAGGAGAACGCAGTGAGGATTTCTAATGAGGCAGTAGCTCTGTGTGTTCCTCCGCAGAGGAAGGACCCAGGTACTGGGATCCTAGCGTTTCCGTAGGCGTCGAGGAGTAGCAGCCCTGGGTGGGAAGTGGAGGAGAGGGTCTGGGCTGGGCCGGACAGGACCGAGGGCTTGCAGTCGGCGTGTCCCGGGCCGGGCAAGCTGAGGGACGTGGCGGATGGCGGTCTGGCCGCCTGCACTGGGGTCGGAGGTTGTGGGGCCATTAAACGAAGATGAATCTCCGTTCTTCTGAATATATGCCAGCAAGAGACTGCTGGATTTAAAGGTGTGCTTCTGTGTAACTATATACTATGAGTGTATGTGTATATTTATATACATACATACATATATGTAAACTTACATACATGTACACACACACATATATATGTATGTATATATCTGTATGCAGACATATACGTGTAATGCTGGGGTAGTTCATCGTTGGTTTTGATTACCTGAGGTTTCAAGTCCGTGTGTCACTCAAACCAAAATGTTTTGCATGTGCTTGTTGAAGCTGTGGGGGAAAATGGATGCAAGTACACACCGATTCCCATCCATTAATATTCAAAATCGTTCACTTGTGATGGGGGAGCTAGAGTTTGGAGTTTTGTCTGGATAGTGACAAATAATTTCATGGCAGAAAGCCAGCAGTTTCCAGTTTTGTTCATCTGTGGCTTTTGAGAAGCTAATTTCTTTTAAAGGCTAAATAAGGTTGTATGTAAATGCAAAGTAATTTTTTTCTTTAGTACTTATTTATCTATTCATGCAAGTGATGGCCATGTTTCCAACTCTGGGTACATCAGTGTTACCAGTGTATAAAATAATTTGCCATACTGCTTTCATATTTTTTCCAGTCCTACTGTCTGTAGGTAGGACAACTTGCACTGTGGACTGAAGAGCTTGTTATCGTGCACTGCTTGCCAGACTAGTCATAGCAACCCACTTTGTTGTGTTTACTTTAACTGGGATCTTATTAGGGTTAAGGAAGAAAAATGCCATACAAAAGGCAAGTGACACACTGGAGTCACTAATTTCTTACCCAAGAAAGACAATTCAGCTTTTCACCTTTGTGTTGCTCTTAGTTGAACGTAGACAAAACTGAAAAAAAAAAATAACAAAAAGAAGACATTCACTAGCAGCCTGTATAATGGCATTAATACTTCCTTGTATGTCCCACATTTATCTTTATGTGTCGCCTTTCACAACTTACTGCATTGGTGGCTCATGCTCATTTTATAATCCATTAGTGATCCCTGCTTTTAAGAGATCACACCTTAAGTTAGAAATAATTAATAGTAATCTCTGAGCATGTAACATTGCATTTTGCGTAGCTAAATGTCATCCCATATTTATTCTTACCCTCTTCAGAATCAGTTATTTTTGTATGAAGTTAAGTCTTTGATTTATACAAGTTTGTGTCATCTGCAGCTTTCGTTAATGCATTGCTGTTTTCTGTGCCAAGGTCATTAATGGAGATGTGAAATAAAGGACTGAACCTTTTAGAACTTCATTTCTTGCCTTTCACTCTGAGAACTTCCCCTCTGAGGAAATAACCACACCCATATCTTCTACATCTTCATGATGTAGAAGCTGGACTGCTTTTTGTACCCAAATTTACTTGGTTAAATCTGGTTTGAGCATATGTGTGCTGAGAATGATCTAAATCCAAGGCTGGCATAGTCCTGTGTTCTGGCTACATGGTCTTATCTTCTGGCAGGCAGAGGAACCAATATTTGTGACCATGTAGAGAGTCAGTTCAGGGAAGTGATTTGGGAAAAAAACAGCATTTTCCTTTTAGGTGGTTTTCATCTGGTTAACTTCCTGAACCAGCACAAAGAAGGACATGAGGAAGCATTTAAGTCAGGAATATGTATGCATATATAGATATACACATGTATATAAACCAGAAAATAAATATATATAACAAAAAGTTATATCCCTCTGGATGCCAAGATGTGACAGGTGAGTTAAATTACTGCTTCAGGGAAATTGCTCTAGTTGTAAATAATATTTCAAGAGAGAAAATACTGCAATACATAGGAGTTACTCATTTCACGCACCTGTATTGCGTAGGTAGCCACCTGGCTGGACCCAGTTTAATTGTGCTGAGAGGAGAAATAAACGGAACAAAAAGGAAAGAAGTGGAATTTAAAAAATACAATAAATTACCAAGATCTGTTGATCGATATTTAACTGCCTGAGCAAGAGGGTCACTTTTCATAGCAAAGGGTAGAATAGTTCTAGAAGGTGCAGCTGTTTCCTGAAATAAGATAGAACCTGTAAAATTGCAGTGGAGGGAGGTGTTTGTTTCTCAAGTAGTTATATCCCTTATGGAGGCATTTCCTTACTAGATACTTGTAACCTGAATACAACAAATAAACATTTTTTGACTTACCATAGTTAACTACCATAATAATTTTACTTACATGCAACATGGGGAAGAAAAGCTCTTTGATGGTATTTACCTGCTTTCAAAGGAGTAGAGGAGGATGCCAAGTACAATATGCTGAAGAGCTATGTTTAAAGCAATCCTATTAAGCCTGGTTTTCTTCCCGGTTTTCTGTTCTCCCTCACTGTAGTCTCTATTAGATACTATAGCATTTGATTAGTGCAGCCCCACAATATAGAACTGGGGAATCACAATTTCCTGCTCATCCAGCAACAAGTAAACATGGCTGCAGCTCAGTCTGGTCATAAAAATTAAGCTGCAGTGTTTGTGTTTTTGAAATATTTCCCCGTTGCTTCTGAAGCACACAGCGTGTCTTAAAATCTGTTACCCTGCATATGTATTTCTAACATTCATGAGTGCATATGCCATTTGAAGAACACCAATTTTTGTGCTACAGAACAAGTACCTATGTGGAGGAAGGTTACTGCACTAGTGTCCTTCCTAAGGACATTATGGAAGAATCAAATCTGAAATTTTAAGAAATGCAGTAAAGTATTTCCCACCTGCAAAACGTGCTTTTAGCCTTGTTAGTTTTGGACTGAATAAGGAACATTTAACTTCCAAGAATCTCTGCTGAAAAAGCACTGAATTAAGCCTTTTAGCAGGTACTCAGAAAATTAAAACTTGGCACTCGGCAATCTTTTATTCTCTGCTCGCAAACAACAAATTAAACAAACAAGCATTGCCAAGCAACCCGTTACAGGAGGGAGAGAGGGAGGCAAAGGAAACGCAGTGTGTCTCCAACTAACTACTTCCATGCAGAGCAGTCTGATTCCTTCTGCTCTTAGTGAGGCTGTGGTTTCACCAGATGGGTCGAGCAGTGCTAACCCCCATGAAAAAGGAGAGGTCCAGTTTTTTTCCCCCCACTTCTGCCTCAATTTGTTCCTGGCCTCCTGCCTGCTCGCTGCTCCTTGCTCTGGTTTTGCTGCTCAGTGGATCCACCTGTGAGCCAATAACCAGCAGAAGACACGCATGGTTCCCTGCTGGCTCAGAGCATTGAGTCAGCGCAGGGAAATGTCTGAGCTGACAACAGCAGAGGAGGCAAGGCTGTTGTGTCAGCAGCCAGAGGAGGCATCGAGATTTTCCTCCTTTGATAGTGGCGAAGCATGGGCTTCCTCTTGATACTATTTCCAATAGTCAGGGCTGGGGTTCTCCTCTGGTGGGTACATTCAACTCTTCTTTGGCTCAGTATGGTGTCCCCTTGATCCAAGTCAAGCTCATCTGTGATAACCCTGTGACTCTTCCCAGTGGGCAGAGGCACCTCCTTGGCTGCAGAGTCTTGCAATGTTGGCAGGAGTCGGCTGCTTTTCTTGGTTAGGGTCTGCCTAGTTGGGTTGCCCTGACTTTTTACCCCCTAGCAATTACAGATTCTAGGTCTTCTTCTGTTTGTTTGTTTGTGGTTTTGGTGTTTTTTTTGGTTTGTGTTTGTTGTTGTTTTTTAAACAGAATAGTGGCGTAACATACAACATAGATTTAGGCTGTTTAAACTAGTCTGTTGGCACATACCAGTAAGAAAATTTTAACTTCCTTTAAACTGGAAGTTTCCACTTTTATGAGCCTGCAGCCCATACAAGACAAAAGCAGTTTTCTATTACATACTGTGTTACTGCGTTTCTCTGTAAAATGTAGGCATACATAGGATTTTACAAAGCATTGTTAACCACGAGATAGAAGATGATCATAACAATTTAGGAATGCAATGCAAAGTTAACAATCAGACAAGTTAACACACCTTCATAATTTTCCTTCAACAAAATAATAATTAAAACCCTATTACAGTTCTCTTGTGTCACCAACATTTTACAAAAATAATGTCAAAATTAGAAGACTGCATACAAATGTCATATGAGTCATAAAGAAATCATAGTGTTAGATCTCTACACTTCAGAAGTTTTATTTCACAGATGACTGTGTAGCAAACCAAGGATTAGTCTTCTGAAGCAGGAGTGCTGGATGTGTTTGTCAGCTGTACATAGTGTTCCTCCTTCCATATGTGAAGCTCTGGTGGTTTGGATGGGTTTTTTTTGTCAAGTGGTTGAAAAAAATAATTATAAATAAATATTTAAATCAAAATAATAGCATTTAGCAGGAAAAAATGGAAAAAGCAAAAGTGAGTATTCTTACTTCTATCTGACATTATTTGTCATGAAATTTGATTTAAGTAGTAGGTGGATAACACCATTGCAGAGGTGTACTGTGTCCTATTTCCCAAAATCTATTAGAAATAACTTTAAATACTTATCCAGGTGTTCCATTCATCTTAAAAACCAGTTAGATTTAGATATCATTTGTCATCATGAGAATTACGACATTTTTGTTAGTTTTATAAAT